TGCTGCCTCCATCCATTTTTTAAAAGATGATTTCCTTTTTCGCAAAACTCCAGAAAAAGTCATCAAGCTGCCAACAGCCTGGAGTGGCTAGTGCATAACTATTCTTGCCTCTGCATGCTTTGAACAGAACAAGTCCCCCTGGGAGCAACAGGACTTGATGAAGTTCTGTGGATAAAATTATGCATGGAGAAAGTGCACAGAGAAAAGTTCTTCTCCCTCTTTCATAGTACTAAAACCTGGGGTTACCCAATGAAAGTAAATGTGGGAAAAGACAGATAAAAGGAAGTAGTTCTTCACACAGTACATAGTTTTAACTAGGGGATTCATTTCTACAAGGCATGATGATGACTGCCAACTTACATGACTTTTTACAGGGGATCAGGCAAATTCAAGGAGGACAAGCCTATGAATGGCTACCAGCCAGGATGGCTGTATATCAGGTCTGGGGAACCTCTTTTCAAACCACTCCCTTCTGAACAACCTTCATGCCAGCGGTGGGAAGGGCCAGAGGCAAAGGTCTAGCTTCTGTACACACCCACACATCCCTCTTGATCCTGCATCCAGGAAAGTGAGAGGCATTAGCAGAGTTCAAGGGCAAGAAGACTCAGTGGGAGAGAGAGGGTGGCGTGAGGGATGGCCAGCATAGCTGTCAAGCATCCCTTATTTGGCGGGACAGTCCCTTATCCCAGGGCCATGTCCCGCTGTTATCCCTTATTGATGATGTCCCTTAAATAAGCTACTGAAGGTAATGGGGCCCTTTCTATGTCCAGCTGTGCTTTGTCAACAACAAATTGTTGCTGTTTTTTGTGTTGAATATATGCTATATAGTAATTTATAGGACCTAATAGGTATCTAAAGACATTTGCACTCAACAAAATATGTATTTTATCAAAGTAATTGTTGATCCCTTATTTTGGCTGCTGATCCCTTATTTTCGAGGCTGCTGGTCCCTTATTTTCAAATCTGTAAGTTGACAGCTATGATGGCCAGTAGAATGCAAGGTGTGAGAGGGGCTGTTGCTGAGGAGAAGCTGTGGCTGGGCACAGTCCCAATGGCGATACAAAAAGTCTTGGATTTCTTATACACATGTATACTGTTCTACAGGAATCAGAAGCAGGCTGCCTTTGAACACCAGTTGCTTGGGAATGACACTGGGAGAGGACTGTTGCCCCCCCCCGTCCAGTTTGATCAACACCTGGTTGCCCACTGTGAGAAGGAGGAAGCTGGAGTATGCAGATCTTTTGTTTGTTCCTCCAGGGCTTTTCTTATGGGGGTGGGTAAAATGTCTAGATTATCAGGCTACCAGGCAATGGGGAAGAAGAGGGTTGGCAGGGAGAGCACAGGCAACAAATGAGCTGCATGCTATACAGGAGGCTCTGGGAATGTTGCCTGGACCTGTCCGGTGAGTCAGACATCAACTCTGAGGAAGATCCAATGTTATGTCCAGTCACTGACACACACCCAGGTACAAATCGGAAAGTCATTGTATTTCCTAGAGCAGATCAGGGAGGAAGGTCACATAGTGCTGGACACAGGCCCATGGACCAGCAGCCTGACCATCTGAGAAGAAAGCCAGAATCCCATGAGGAACCAGCACAGCTGTCCAAGTCCCCCAACACACCCCAGAAGCACAGAATGCCCAAAGTGTGCCAAACTATGGCCTCTTCGCAAGAAAGGGCAAGGCTTGGTTCAGATGGCAAAGCCTTCCCGGTACATAAAGGTTCAGTCAAGCTCTGATAATTTTTGAAGCAAACCTTGACACCATATGTAGTCCTGCAAACTCTCTGACTGATAAAGGCTCTCACCTTTACCAGCTCCCTTACCTTTCCAGGAGGATGCTTGCTACAGCCTGTTCATTTTCAGTCTATCAATAGTGGACCTCATGTCCACTGACAAGGGCCTCTTGTAGCCAACAACGGACAGACTAGTTATAATATCTATAGGGTATCAATATCTTGTAGGTGGTTCACTTCAAAAGAAGTAAAGTGTGATTTCATTTTGCCTGATGACTAGGTGAGGTATCTCATTGTTTAAAGCTGACTACTTTTCACTTTTCAATCATATCTCCCAACTGGCATCACTGCCCTCCTGCCCCCGGCATTTAGGCCCGTCTTACCCATAGAGGCTAGTGGCGCGGGGCGCCGGGGCGGCAAGTTTTTGAGGGTGCCAGACAAGAGTCCGGGGAACACCGAACGAGCGCGCTGAGTGAGTGAGGGTGTGTGCGCTGCTCCTGTCGAGCGTTGGTTCGGTTTTTCCCTTTTAGCCTGCAGGCACCAAATTCTGCAGGATTGGTGTGCTGCCTGCCGTGGCCTCCATGGCACAAAGCAGCTAGCTGAACTGGGAGGCGCTGCGTCTAGCCACACACCGACTACTCTGGGAAAGGGGGGGGGGCGCTGGAGGGATCTTTGCACCACGCCGCCAGATATGCTTAAGACGGCCCTGCTGGCATCACTGCTGCTTACCAAGATGGCGTTGGAGCAGTAATGAGGTCAGGGCTGCATATGTGCAAGGAATTGGTTGCAAAGGTGTGCCCAGCATAGTCCCTGACCTTGCTGTTGTCCTGCTCTACACCTCAGTCCCATCCAGGTAAGAAGCAATGCTACTACCAGGCTCTGTGACTCCTGCCAGCACACGCACCACTGCAATGTGGTTATATGGCCAGCTTTAATTATTCCCGAAGTGGCATATAAAGAAAGTGCTTTTTTGCTATTTAAAAATGAGGTGTAAGTACTCAAATATTGGTAGAAGTGCCAAAGATTCCAGCACAAAATGGCTGCCATGGGCCCCAAGAAGAGGAATAAAGTTTATCAAAACTATATCTATTGGTTGATGCTGAAACTCATATATTGTGTATTTATGCTAGAAGGGTGAAGTATAAATGCTATAACAAAGAAAAAATAAACATCAAGCCGACACCACTGTTGCTATCTCACAACTCTAAAGTTACCAAGCATAACATTTTTTGATTTGATGACGAAACTTATGCTGCACATATTCCTGCCTGCCCCTGCCAAGTCCCGTCACATGATCTTTCAACATGTGGGTGAGTGGGGGTCCAGTGAACCTCTCTTAATGAGCAATTAGCGTTAGTCTTAATTGATCAGTGCACTTACACAAATCCCAACATGGGGTACTTCATCTCAAATGCCACACCTTTGTCTCAGCTGACAATGCGGGATTCATTGTGTGTGTGTTGTGTTTAGACAATCTCAGCGCCTCCTATCAAGTCATTGGGGTCTTTCACTTGTATATTCTTTTCAGCTAACACAATTCAATAGAATCAGCAACTTTATAGAACAGGCTTCTACAAAAACACGCTGGAGAATTTTAGGTATTGATTAAGTAATATTAATATATCTTTTGCCGCTAGTCAACTATCCTTTCTTCAGAACATCCCATTGGGGACCTCTTCCATCTCTCTCCCTTATTCAAGCAGAATGCTAATACAATAAACTTTGGCATTATCACCTGACCTACTCTCTCTCTCTCTCTCTCCTTTTCTGATTTGTTTAAAACATACTTATTTACTCATATACAATTTTCCTTCTCGCATTCCTCCAAATATAATCCCTTCACGTTTCTCCAGCCCTCACGTGTCTTCTCGGCTCACCGTTGATGCAATGACTGATGGTTGCCAGTGCTGCCTTCCTTGACCTCATCAACATCAGAAAAGGGTTTTCAAATCTCAGTCATCTCTGACAGCCTTTGAGAAGAGAAATGAGACAGTCTCTCTGACACAAAGGCTTCTGGCCTGGGGTAAAAAATTCCTTTTGAAACAGAAAAAAAAAAAATCTGAACACTCCACAGACCACACTGCTTCACATTCATCTCACAATGCAACCCATCCATCCCTGCTCCATATTAGCTTTCAGAGACTGTAGTTTTTTCTGTCTGTTGCGGGCCTGACACTATTTCTACGGTACCTTTGTTGGTGCACTTGGCAGATAGCTGTGTAAATCTGAAAGGCAGTTGGCTTTACAATTATAGGCTCAAGATGAAAAATTAGGCTTACTTTAATCTTATTTTAAAGTGTCTATAGACACAGTTTAGTCAATTTATTATACTTGTACATGCAGTGAAGAGCTTAAGGAACAAAAAAACCCCTCTATCTATCTATCTATCTATCTATTTTTATATCTGTACCAGGGATTTGTATGCAAGTTGTCATCCAAGCCCAACATAATATTTATTTATTCATCTGAGGTTTAGCGCTTTAATATTTTTACTAGAGCAGTCAAGTACAACATTTTCCTGTTGCCTAGAATGGACACACAGAGGAATGTGGCTCCAGACAAGGAGGACATCCTGTCATACCTGCTCTGGATGCTCCTCCACTTGTGTGTGACCAGGCAGATGGCCAGGACCCTAGCTGACCAGGTAAAAGGGCTGGCCATGCCACCATCTTCCTCTTTTGGACCTTCACTTCCGGATCCCTACTGCTCCTGGCTCTTAGCCAGCACATGGCACATCCTCACAGAGGATGGAGGCCAGAAGTAGAAAGTCTGAGACCTAGCTCAGACTTCTTTTCTCTACAAATGTAACTGTAACCACAGGATAATGCCTGCCTTCAGATTACTGTTGTGAACTGAATGTGAGTAAAACTTTACTGTTATTTTTCAAGAAGACTGTGTTGCATCATTCTTATTTTAAGAGGGAAATAAAGGGGAAATAAGAGGGAAATAAAGATGGACACGGGTGGTGCTGTGGTCTAAACCACAGAGCCTAGGGCTTGCTGATCAGAAGGTCGGCGGTTCGAATCCCCACAACAGGGTGAGCTCCCATTGCTCGGTCCCTGCTCCTGACAACCTAGCAGTTCGAAAGTACGTCAAAGTGCAAGTAGATAAATAGGTACCGCTGCGGCGGGAAGGTAAACGGCGTTTCCATGTGCTGCTCTGGTTCGCCAGAAGCGGCTTAGTGACCCGGAAGCTGTCTGTGGACAAACTGCCGGCTCCCTCGGCCTATAGAGCGAGATGAGCGCCGCAACCCCAGAGTCGTCCGCGATATACACACACACACACATATATATATACACACTATATATACTATATATGTGTGTGTGTATATATATAAAGTGTCATTTTTCTATTACATATAATATATTGTAAAACACTTTAAAAACAACTGTTAAAAGCCAAATTTTGTGAATAAACACATCAATGAGTTGTTCAACAAAAAATTAGTTAGATTATTCCTATGGGATTTAGCAAATTGACACTCAATATTATTGCCTTAATTCATCAAAGAATTAAGATTTAAGTTTTGTAATAAAATAGACAATTAACATATTCAATTCAAATTAACATTTGATTCCCCCTTCTCCCAGATTTTCAACTTGTTTGGATTTTCCCCAGGTTTATTGCACATACACATATGACACCACCATTCAGTTCTAGTTTAGCCTTACTTTCACAAGCAAGGAGTGACAACCAGCCACTGTATATTTTCAATTAGGTTAAGGACTTCTGAGCATGCTTGAAGTTAAGGAGTTATTTGCTTCCTTATTTGCAAAAGTCATTTCCAGTTTGTCTAAAATTGTTTTTACTGAAAGTTTTGCACTCAGACAAATATAAGATGATAAAAGAGCAGTTTGACACAATACAATCAAATTATAAAATATTAGTTTTAACGTATGCAAATAATACAACAAGCAGCAACAAACTGAAAGAAGTCCAGAAAGCCATACCTGTATTTACCTGGTGTGGGGGAGAGACTTGGCAGTGATGGGGCCTTGGCAGGTGAACTTCTTTTGGCAGGGGAATCTGTTGCCTGGGTGCTGCCATAGGAAAGCCATGCTTTCCATGGGATCACTGTCAAAGATGTTCATGTTGGGTCCCCTTCTTTCCCCTTTAAGGTAGAGGATCTCTACGCTCCAGAAACCATCTCCCTGTTGTCTATCTTTGCCCTCACTAGTGGGCAACCAAAGATGTAGGGCTGGTGTCAGGAAACACTGCAAACTGAGGATGTCACAACACAAGCCTACACACCAGATCCATATGCTGTGCCATAAACCTCTTGCGCAATCTTCTCGGGGTGGGGTGCACATGCCAGTGGATGGTGGGGCAGAGAAACATACATAGCTTTGCACAGTAGTTGCTACGCACACCCTTTACAAGCAAGAGGCATGGCTGGAGCTCAAGGCCAGACAGGCAAAAACACCCAGGAAGTTGCCAGGGAGGGTGTGGTCTGGGGAGTGTGTATGGAGAGGGCCTCATAGAGAGGACCAGAGGGCTACTTTGGGCTCCTGACCTGAGTTTCCCTGTGCCTTTGTTACAGGAAGAAAGCAATATGATGGTGCCCTGTGTCACACATGAAGTGCTATTTTGCCACAAAAGAATCTGTGGCTTCTTATGACTTACAGTGACCAGGATTGTTTTGTGTGACCAGGCAGCGACCGCCCCAGCCCCCAGGGACCACCAGAAAGGAATAATGACTCTGACAATGTGTTATAGAATTAAAATTTGGCCACAACTTTATTAAACTTTCAAATGTAGAAAGACCTTGGCTTAGGCGTTGGGCGTGTATCCCTCCCAGCCCCCCAGCTGGGGGAACTGGGGCTCCTCAGGATGAATGGGATATGGGGGTGCTCTGCAAGATGCATGTGTACACAGGCAGCACACCCCATATCCCCACACGCAGGGTAGTTCACTGACAACCTTTCAGTGTATGGCCAGTGACACCCATATACAAACCCCTTTAAGATGGAACCCTGGAATCGCCGCCACGCGGGGGGAGGGGTGAGTCACCACTTCATGCCCCCCCCCCAATTTCAGGAAAGGAAAGACTAAAGAATTCTGCCCAAATCCTTAAACTGCCAAAGTTGTGACGAATTGCTACAGGGAAGACAAAACCTGCCAACGCAGGAAAATTTCTTCCCGGCTCTTCAACAGCAACCAGTCAAAAGACTGTAGCAGCGCCCGCTAAACAGGAAGCAAAACAGTTAACCTGTAAACAAGAAACATCAAACAAAGGGAGGGTTAGGGGGGTGGGTGAAGCTGCCCCGCCCCATTTATGTGATTGGCCCCATCTTCCAGCAGTGTAAATTGACTAACTGAGGCTAGGCGTGAACCTGCAAAGAATAGCCCTGGTCCGAGCAAAGGGCATTCACAGTGTGAGTGTGAGTGCTCATTAGCAAAGGTGTGAATGGTGGTAAATGGTCTAAATCCAATTTTCTCTCAGTTGCTGCTCCTCTTTTGTTCAGTGAGAATAATTTTGCTGAGATAAAGGTGAGATACAATGAGTTCCCTCCCCTGCACCTGTTAGAGGAAGCACTCTGCGCTGACAGCCAGGCAAATGCACAACCAAGGTATGATTTATAGGCAACATTCTTGCATACAGCCAATGTTCAGTTAGTATACTTTTGTGGAAAGATCCTGACAGGTCGGTGTTGCTTGTACATATGCCAGCTCTTGGTGCTAATTGCACAGCATACGCTACCTGGACCAGAAAATATCAGAGCCCCAAGGTACTGTTTCCATGGACCAATGCTGCCAAATACTTCTGTTTCCCCCGTGGCTGACTTCTTCCCAATCACTTCCTGAAGCTGAATCTCGGTGTCTTGACTGGATTGAGCTTCAGGCTCCAAGCATGTTCAGTAATAGCCCTGACCTTTTCCTAGTATTGTCATTCTAAGTGACATTTCTGGCATGTACAGCAAGTGACACAAAACTGACAGGCAAAGTCGCCATCAAGAAGGAAAGGGGAAACACAACAAAACAAAAAGGAAGAGGCTTTTGAAAGGGGCTGTCTAAATTTCAGCAGAGAAATACGGTATTTTGCTCAGACACACCGAAGGCACTGCCAAACTAGCAGGTGCAAAGGGGGTTAGAGTTAACCACAGCATTTCATATAGACAAATTATTGTGGGGAAAGTTTGCTTGGGACTGGTGGGGCAGAAGTCGGGGAGGCCAGCAGCGTTCTGCTTTTGTTCTTACCCTCTGCCTGCTGAGTTCTACAAGGGCAACACTGAGAGCAAGAAGGAAGCAGCTGAAAATCAGTTTCAACCCCTGTACAGCAAGTAGGCAGGCACTGGCATGCTAAGGGCAGACTCTGGGTGGTGCGGCAGTGCCTCTGTTCACCCCCAGCGACGACCCTTCGCTGGTGGGACTCTCTGTATTTGCTCATACTTTTTATTCTGTACATTCAAACTTTGCAATCAGACAAACTAGTGTTGAACAGTAACCTCCTTTTACAGTCCTAAGGGCAACCGTTCCTTCATCACATTAATGATTTTCCCTCATCAGCAACCAGGTGACACCAAATCCTAGAGATCTTTCTCACCTGTGTGCTTTGCAGAACAGCCTGCTTCACACCACCAGCAATTTTTGGTCTCACATAATTAACAGAGAACTATAGCCAAGGGGATTAGAGTTTGTGGATATATCACACAAACCTGCAAATAAACTATGTAGAAGGAAGTTATTATCAGCTCCAAATTTATAGCAAAGGAGAAGAAAAGCAAACCTGATGAACCGTTTGATCTTTTACAGCTTTCTTAAGAGTTACAGAGCTCATGTTTACTTAAAAGGAAGGCCATGATCTCAGGCACACTTTTTAGCTTGGAAATTGGTTCCATTAAAATCAGAAGGTCTTACTTCCAATGCATTTAGGATGCATGTAGAATTTGGTGCTTATGTGGAAGAACGATTAAATAGACAATAACCACAGGCCAGCAACTGCAGTGCACACAGAAGGTCTCCAGTGTGTGTACATGCAGGCACACATGAGAAAGTGTTAGATAATTAGTCAGGAAGGATTCCTCAATAGTGAAGAGTTGAAGCAGTCCATGCTCATATAATGCTCCATGTTTGGTACATCAGTGCTCTATGGAGCCTTGCATACTTTTTTATGTAGCTTCTGGACCACTAGGTTATACTATACTACATATATACAGGATCAATGTGTATTATATGTGTGCACACATGGAATTTGTTTATGAGAGATGTGTGTGTGTCTGTCTGCCTGTGTGTGTGTGTGTGTGTGTATTTATTTATTTTATAGGATTTCCTACCTTTCACCATAAGGTCCAGGGGAGGTTACTACCATATAAAAATACAATAATAAAATCACTTTAAGTGTGCATGCGCATACACATTTGGTATATTTATATGCACAATAAATGCACATTTTGTGCACACGTATGAATATACATACAATTACACACACAGAAAGGGGGGGAGAGATAGTATATATGTGTGCAATGAGCAGCAAAAAATAAAAAATGCAAATACCAAAACTGCCACCCTGTTTAGCGTTTCAAGGAGAAGGGAGGGAAAGAACTTCAGAAAAAAAAATAAAACATCAGCAGGCAATTAGACTAATCTGCAGCAAGCCAGGCTTGTGGGATCATTGTTTGGTATTTGCTAGGGCCCAAGCTGTGTGCCCTGAAGGGCCGACCTTCTAATCATTATCTGTCTGTTTTATTACCCAGCCAAACTGGGCCCAGTTTTAAATAAAATATGCAAAGGTTTCTTAAATTATCACCTGGGGCAAGGCGGATCGCCTTTCTTGCTGTACATGTTGTTAATCTGTGAAATGCAAATTCCCTTCATCTTATAGTTGAGCTTTATTAACTTTTTTGAATTTAAAATTTCTCGAACAATGAGTTCTGTCAGCTTCTGAAATTATATTTTCTTTCTCTTCCCCCCCCCTCTCCCGCTCTTCCCTCTCCCCCCCCCACCCCAACACGGAAGCGAGTTTAAAGCAGAAAATCACCAGGGGAAATAAGAAGGGTTTCATCTCGCTTTCAGAATTTAATTGGCTCCTTAGCAATTATTAGTTTTTGCGGTTAAAGTCATTTTTTATTACTATAAGTATTTTCTTAAAGAAACCGTGTTACCTTCCCTGGGTGAAGACCTCAAATGTCAGGGAAAAAAGATGAAGGGTGCAGGGCACAGAAAGAGGGGACTTCAGATGGGCCACAGACACTTAACGTGCGTGATTTGAGGAGCAGGGAGGCTTTGACACTGACTGACATGCTTCGCCGAGCCGTTTCTCATTTTATCAGTTCTGTTCTTGAAACAAAAATATAGTTTATCCTTATCGCAAGCGTCAGTCATGCATCTGTGATCT